GGTCGCCGCTTTTGCGCTTTTTCCATTATGGGGAGAAGGAGGTTTGTCCCGGACTGTGAAAGTCAGATATTTGTTGTACACACACATAACCGACAGACATACACATACAYATACACACATACATCGTTATTTCTGGTGGCCATGCTACAATAGCCAGCAAGTCATTATAGCAAAGCMAGCGGGAGCCACGAAGGCATACAGTACMTTTCCATCCGCAAAGGCTGTGGCAGACTCCGTTGCCCCTCTCCTCCTCCCCCCYCCCCGTAAATCTGCCCATCCCCTTGTACTGTATCTCCCGGCACCTCTCTTATCACTTCTTGACATTCGGCTGGCATCAGGTAGACAGCTCAATTCGCGGAKCGACTAGTGGGTCTCCAGTTGACGGMCGCCGCCTCGTGCTTTTGTGTACCGAYGGCATATGCACCCCGCTGGAYGCCCCGCGACATCTGTGGAACGGAAAGCCTGCGTGGCACGCTGTAATCAGATTTCATGGTTGACACTCAAAGGCCAGCRGCCTAGGGGTTAGGCGGGCCCACCCAACGAGCGAAGTCTGATTGCGTCCCGGGCATCGCTYAGAGCATGTTTTTTTGTGTACGCCCCTCTTTTTTTTTCGCACGGGGCGTGTGTGTGTGTGTATATGTGCGGGCGCGTGAAACAGAAAGAGAAAGAGGCAGACAAAGAGAAAGAAGAACGAAGACGAGTACTACACCCCCTCTGGAGATATTATGGCATGTTTCCTTAATGCACCCGTGCATTCCGTGCAACAAATCCGGAGCGCTTCTGCAAGAGCACCCGTGAAAAGCAAGACTAGCTAACTGCGYTGGACWRGTGCCTGTGACTACTGTCCACAAGGGCCGCCCGCCAAGATAGATTGATGATGGGAGGGGAGCATCACCATGGACGACAGTGAGCGTCCTTKTACAGAGTGAGTCTGAAATACGGTATCCTGAATAGCAGGCGGAGGGTTGGGCTATAGGGTGTGCCACAAGGCGGGCCCTGACGTAGGYGCCGGAGAAGCATCAGTGGATGGGAAATAGATGTCCCGAGCGCTAAGAAGCCGGAGGCCTATAAACAGGACAATGGGAAGTGTGCTGGGAGACATATATTGAGCTTAAACTGCTAGTACACGGCMCCGGCCTTGCAGAAAGTTTTTGTCGGCACAAGCAGAACTCGGCGGCGCCCCGCACCAAGTGGGGCCATCGGGGAAAAAAAMCCGCGGCCTCCGAAGCGGTGCGGGTTTCATGTTCACACCCGCAGGCCTGTGTGCGGTGTACTGGGCATTCATGAGCGCAGGAAAACAAAATGCAACGAAACAAAACCCAAAAAAAAACATTGTGAACATTCCCCGGACAGGCCTGGTCGAGATGCGGGCCCAGGCTYAGGTTCCAGCAACAAAAATCAGTGATGGTGTAAGTTGCCGCAAATTATGGTCAAAAGGAGGATTTTTTTTGTTTTTCCAAAAGGAGTTTACTGCTGAGGAAAAGTCAAAATGCATGTTGATCACCGCCGATTACATGGTCAAAAGGAGTCTTTTTTCCTTCCGAAAGGAGATACTGTTGAGGAAAAGTCAAAGTGCATGTTTGGCCCCGCCTTATCGGCGRTGGTCAGGAAGAAGGGCAGGGCCGCMGGTGGGGGAGGTRTGTTGGGCTGGGAAGGGACGRGGGAGGGTCGAAGGGGGGGGTCCGGCAGCCACCTTAAAGACCAAGCATTTTGCCAGCAGYTGCCCCTCCCATCCACTTCCTRTGCTCGTAACCAGTAACAACAGTGCCTATGCCCAACACTCACGCGCCACACACAACCCCCCCAMTCATAGACACACAGACACACACACTCGTGACAATCTTGAATTCGTGATAACAAGGCACCGCTTATACAYTGAGCTTCACCYTTMACTAACCATTTTGTGTTTTTCCAATTTCGTACTTTGCGCAATSCTTTACGAGGCCCTGTAGAAGAGGGCAATTCATAGATAGCATACTTACGTGGACAGCTTCGAATCATGTTTGAGTCTTATTGTTGAAACYGTACAAAGCCGACAAGGGTGAACCGAATGCCAGTCGACAGGGGACACTACATGTTGCATCTTTCGAGAAGAAAGATATGTAGTGCATACGGACGAACCCCGAATTTCGTAATAAAMATTCGYCGATGGCATTCCTGATGCAGCATATTTCTGATTCGACTTCAGCCCATTCCTCGCAATCGGCGTTCSTCTCATGGGGCACCACTCTAATCCTGTTTTCTAAAACTGTTCGCTCGACCAGACGATCTCCGGACAGATACGTYGTAGTGTATGTTACAATTACGACCGCATCTGTCAATGTCCTTTTCTTGTTTGTACACGCTACGCACAACACTCTACTCAACGCTCRGTCATCCAGCGTGACACARACACAACAGTAGGAGGYTGCGCAAGACGACGTCTGCAGTCCAGGCAAGGGGTATTCTGATAGAAAATCACATAGCCCGTCACAAACGAGCAATTCGAGGCGACAACGTTTCGCCCAGGTCCTCGGTGAGGTCGAAACGCACGTGAATTCCAGCGTGTGCATAGAGACGCCCGTTTCCGGCGGTCAGTATACTTTGCGTGACATCAACTTGGAACGCGGCAATACGAGTACGCGCCCCCATTCCAACATGGTCGCAAAGCGATAGTCGTTTGCCCGCGGACAACATGACAAAGTTGCAATCCAGTCGTCTTTACACCAGGCATCCAAAGGAAGAGATCGCCAGGGCACAACAGTCATCCATGGATCCGTTTCAAAATCTGCGCGAGTGGCGCCAACGATTTCCGTTGACCCTTTTGAACCCCGAAGGGCTACCGCCCGCAGTTTGAACGGGAAGGCGACAACAACCGGCTCGATCATTTCCGAGACTCGGCCAACGTTCTCCTGGTAATATTGCATTGTATGCTGGCATACACAAAGCAACAATGGGGGAATTAAGTAAATAACTGCAATGTCATTTGCATATGGCGACGCATAATCCGATATCCCTTATCGTGAACATGGAACTCCATAAGCATTCCTCTCGCCTTTTGTTTTACGTTCCCCCCTCACCCTTTCCGTCAACCTCTCATCGGTTTCCTGCCTTAAGCCCCTCTACCCATAAGAGTTCAATCTATGCGAGCAACCCGCGTTACAGGTGTGATCTTAATGGTCTACTGGTATACCGACTCAGGGCACACTTACATGCACAGGCCATGGCAAAGGCATACGTACATTACRGTTTCCCTTTAAACAGAAACGAACAATACAACTCTACAACTTAGCTCAGTGAGTGCACCATCGAACTGCAGAAATGCWGACTCAACTGCGARCCCCTGCGATGAAACTCGKTGAATAAAACCAGATATTCTGAAACGCGTGGTGCCARTTGGGTCACTGGTTATATGCCACGGYCGTGGCCACCCCCTTTTTCGAAAAGAAGCGGYTGAAATAACTAAATTCCAAATGGAGAGRTTGGAGCATGCTGGGACRACCATTGTCGCAAAGCCCCCCTCCGGACTGCGTCCACTTTGATAACCTYAGAGTTGTTTTATGCATACGAATCCATCAAGATTCAGAGTTCGTCACCGCCAATTTTGTCGTCAAAGGCACWGCATCGCGATTTCAAAAATCCAGTTGCAACCGGCTGGGCAGAAACCAARKAGGGAAATTGAAAAAAGTCCCATGGAACGGGGCAATGGATGATGATGATGCTGAGA